CACACATCCTTCCCTGGAAAATCATCCTCCATGACTTAAGAACGCATTTCTTTAGGAATAGCTGCCTTTTAGCCGCGTAATAACTTCGTATATTTCCATTTCTAGATAATACAGGGAATAGAAATGGGAGGCAATTAGCGGCTAACAGATAGGCTTATGAAGTTCAGAATTTGCAAGTTGGAAACCAAGCCTGTTATCCACTGCTCTTCCTCCCCTATTCCGAACGGATGATCTAAATATACTAATTAATTGGTTGGGGGGGCTGCACTACACTAGTGCATTTGTGACCGCGATCAGTATCTAATGGGAAATCCAGTGATGGGAAATCGGTTCGTCTACCTGTCTGGTTCCCACAATAAAGTTGGATCACGTAACCCACACAGAATATTGTATTAAGATCCTGATTGGAAACTGCGGTGGGGGGTATAAGTAGACCTTGGAATAGCACGTGGCATAATTCCCGAAAGCTATATCTGTAGCCACTTTCTCGAGTAGTATCCCGTCAAAAGCAAGAAATTGCTCACTAAATCGTCCCATTTGATCAGGTGGTAGTCCAAGAGATTTAAGACAATCCACGGGATAAAACTGGCGTAGAAGAGCGCTTCTAATGATGACTGAGCTGTGAAATGACCTGAATGTGGAAAGGAAAGCAAAAGACAATTCGATAATGCTGAAATGAGCCTAACTTCAATAAGGCTGTCTTGCGATGTGGCGAGATCAGGGCGATCAAGGCGATATACGCGGCGAGACCACGCCGTTCGAGAGAGAGCACAGCTGATCTCTACATAGCGAGAATGTGGTTGGAATCGTGGCAAAGAGGGGTGTCAATGGTTTTAGGCGTAAGGTATTAGCGCCCTAACGCGCACATTTTTTTCTTCAAAAAAGGTGCTCCAGGTTGATGACTTACAATTTCCTCTGGCGTTCCTGCCCACAAAATCAGGCGATTCCAGGTTTCCGTTTATGACAGTGTTCATTGACTTATTATTCTTGTGTTTCTTCGCTTGTAATAGCTGCTTTTAAGTTGTTGTTTACCTCCGGAACCATATTACCTGAACTTTTTTATAAGCTTTTTTCCAACAGAATCTCCTTGGTGGGAAAATGTATTTCTTAGCCACACACAGCTTAGGATACTAAGTAATTCATATGGTCACGAATGCACTATGTGCGTGAGCAATTTTTCTCTGTCATGAGGTTTATCGAAGCCCTTCTTTTCCTTGATTCTGTTAAGCTGTTCAACGAATATGCTAGGCGACGGGAACGCTAGAAGAAGATTCCTTTCAGGGTGTGGAGGGGTTTTTCGAATCGGTCCTTTGCATTTTATAGGAACTCATGAGTAGACCACAAAACCATGGCACATTTTGCTGAGCGACCCCGTGAAGGCCAAAGGTGGTAGAGAAATGGTCCAAGGCACCATTCCCCGTGATGACAAAATTTTTGCATTTAGGTTGAAGCTCACAAATTCTCCATATAGCGCTAGCGTCACAGTAGGTGTATTTTTTATTACCATCAGTTACCTTCACGGTAGATATTCGTTCAAAGAAATCCGTTTAAAATCACCCACTGCAAGTGAATTTCTTTTCGATCCTTTCTTGGCCTTCAATAGCCGCTCAGACGGAATGGACCTCCTTTTTGTGGCCACGTCAGAGTATATAGCATAAAACACGATTTCGAAAACGTTTTTCGGTTTTAATCTGGCTTTTGTCGCAATTCTTGGCCTGGCCAATCATCCCTGCAACGTGAACTGTTTTATATTCTCTCTGCGTTTCACACCTAGAAAGTCTGGATCTATCCCAATTACGAGGGGCATCAGGATGCAGTTTTCCTAGAAAGCTAGGGTAACTCGAGTCCAGGGGAGTGTAGCCAGTCTACGGGGGAGGGGGTGAGGGCAGTCACTTGATATGCGTAAAAAAACTGGAATTAGCTAGAATAGACCCTGAAAGTCCTTCCTTGTAAGAAGTGATATGTGACAGCACAGCCGTACCATTTCGTCTAATATTATGGCTCATCGAATGTAAGGGCTGCGTCTACCATGAAGTTTATGTATGAAGGCCAAAAAGTAGGGCATTAACCGTTGATCGGTCTTTTTTGTTACATGTCGCGCATTCTGCATTCATTCGGATCCATAGAGGTATCTTGCATGTGACTTGACCTACAGCGATACTTGTGGAACCAGCTCGGTCAGTGTTCTTTCTCCAAGACCAGCCTTACATCAGTCAACCGAAATCGGTGGAATGGAAAACTCGGACCCTGACGAGATTTGATCAGGGGCTCCCGCATCGTGCATGTTACGCCTTCGCCAGAAACTCTACGTTAGAGTGGTTTTTTCTATCCCCATTCTTGGAATTCTTTGCTCCATGAAAAGCGATCCCCTGGCTGTTGAAAAAAAACTGAGATGGTAAGCGAAATCGCTGCGTAAGGAGGAGATTCTTTTACCCTTCGCTGGGTAATAAAGTGAATCTTTTTGTAATAAGCCCGACGGAATTCCTGCACCAGATTAAAGATCATGTGGTCTTCGAGCACTGAGCTAATTGTCTCTTTTACGGGAGCAGGTCGAGATCAACGTCACTCATTAACTCTCGCCAAGGGAATGGTATGGCATCTGAGAAATAGAAGAAGCTGAAGTAACTCGGCGCGCCAGCAGAATACGCCTGTCCAGCTCGCACGACAGTAAGCGCACCTTCTACCGGGAGCCCAGGCTCACTAGCGCTGAACTTTTTTTCTTGGCTTCTCGCAGAAATGGTGAAACGCGCAAACTAAGGAGGAATAATATTTATCACTGTTCTGGTCTGCTTGGAACTGGGCCGCTTTGTCTTCGAGTCTGACTTTCGTCGCAATCGCTCCTTGACCTAGCAGGATCTTCTTACTACGTTAACACTCTTCTATGTTCCTCTGTTATCCTATTGTGGAACAAAATACTTTGTCTTTTACTCTTTTCTGGCCCGTATCTATTGAAGTTGAGAGGTCATCGTTAATTTTTGGCATAGTTCAATTTATTATATCTTTTCACTCATTCGTGTATAGCTCGAAGTTCTTTCTTTACATTCCTCTAACCAAAGTTCCTTATCCTAATTTGTATCGGGTTGGAAATTGAATTTGAACAGCTGTGTTGCCACGGTTTCTTATTGAATTGTAGTCTGAAAAGAAATTATAGCTGGGCATTGCCATGGACACGTTCCATAGAAACCCTGCGTTCGCCTGCGCCGCTGTAAAGCCTGAATGTCCCTTGGAAATATGAGAACACAATGACGAAGTGACAAGTCAGCGGAAAGCCTAGCCAATGGCACCGCCGTTCTGAAATAAGTGTCAGTAATTGTGGGGAAATCAGCGGGCATTGCTCCTTTGAAGAATGTCGGTTCGGGAATGGGCTGATCTGGAAAGGGTTTCAAAGTCAGAAATCCGAGAGCGTGAGGCATGCATGTTCTGTAACCTATCAGGTTCGATTCTTGGTGAATCGATGGCTATCCGAATGTTTTTGTTTACTTTCTTTTCGGAATTCTCTGTGTACTTCAGGGTTACACCGTGAGAACGTCCCTGGATTATGTACCAGAGCCGAGCTAAGTACTAGTGCAATGCGGAAACATTTCATGTGTACCTCTCCCCTATGGTCTGTATTGGCCCTTAACTCACTCAGAACCAGGGTCACCCTTACCGTTGGTACTTTTTGGAAATTGTTCACGACCCTCCTCCACCACCATGAGACTCAGGAGGTCCACCAATAACGAACACCACCCTTACCATCAGAGCTGTTACTATAGTATTTGATTCTGAGACCAGTTGACACAGCCCAACTCCACCCACACTTTTAGCACTTACAAAGCGTGAAGCGTCACACTACGACCCCAACTGGTGTACGATTGACGCTGCCTCCGACCTTGCGAATACGAACCCCTCTTCTTTTCGTCGGCCCTCTCGTTGAGCCATGTCCAACGGACGTTGAAGCCTGCTTCATTGACCCACCCTTCTAGAGTAGTTGTAAGACGCCAGTACTATGCCATGGCTTCTCTGTGATTTGTTGTAAGTCCAATGCGTGGCGCATACTCAGAGGATTTGGCGGACGAAGCGCGTTCCACCTCCGATCTAACATTAGGTCTCACTTATGAAGAACGTTTGGGAGAATCGAGGGTCCCTTTCAGCAGATTGGCATTGCAAAGCTAACAAACCACTGCCCTCACTGAGAAAAATCAAACAAAGTGAGGATCGATTGCTTGTCAGCTTCGCTCTATGATGCCTTCCGATGCAACTATGTTATCCTCTCTTGCCTACTTTTGTCAATAAGAGAGGGAGAACTGCTGATATCGAACCAACAGTCCGAAAACTTCTTTCAAAAGGCCCCTATACCCTTCCTAAGGGGACCTCACTCAGGTTGTATTCGAGGTTCCCTCTGGCTTTGTTCTTTCACTTCAGCCGCAGATCGTGACCTTTTGACTTTCCATTTTTGAGGCCTCTCAAAACATTCTTTTCACGTTCTTTTTTCGTTCAAAACTGCCTAATGCGCATTTTTGAGGGAAAGGCAAATAATGTATAGAATGCGAAACAATAAATTAATTAAATGGCGCAGTAGTCTAACACTCATTGCGGTTGGCCATGCATTTAAAATGAGTCTCCTTTTTGTTGAAGTGGAATGGAGCCCTCAGGCGGGGGAGGACTGGTCCAGGGTGCATGAGCAATTTTGATTTCGCCCCAAAATTCATGCCCTCCTAAACTCAATTCTTAAGGGATGCCCCGTATCTTCCGATAGCGTCCAATAATGATAATCGATGAGGAATATTTAATGATGTGTACAGATAAGAAGTTATTACGTGATTCGACATTATGGTCTGACAGGTATCTAAACGCATGCCAATGAACGCGAGCTTTGCGCCTAGAAATAGCTGTGCTAACATTATTCCTTATTATTATTCATTAGTGAAGGCTACCATTTCAAAATGGGAAAATGAATTACGTACCGAAAAAAGATGTTTTGGATATTTTTGAAGAGTATCTCATTTTTTAATACATAATGCTGTATTTTTTCAGGAACCCCGTTGGCAAATACGTATTTTATATGTAACGAATGCCGTAAGTGCCTGTCAAAACTTCAAAATCTGCCAACTAGTGTGTTGGTGATCTCGAGGGATCAATCGCCGCCAGGTCTCAGTGCCATATGGTTTCAGACCAGCAACGCAGCTGTGCAAGGCATGTGCACACTGACCGATGCGGTTAGTTATTCGCACATTTGAACGATTTTCTAATTTTATACCCGAGGTTTTGGAGTCATTGACCCGACTTGCGATTTCGTGCGGGAGCCAGACCTTACACTTGCCCTTTCTGACACCGCGCAAAACGCCTCACATAAAACGAACTTGATGGTGATAAACTGCGGGAATGCAGTCACATTTAGTGTCTACGTACCCTTGATGTTCAGGGTCCCTGCAGGCCGTAGGTGATTAAGCAACAGCTTCCCGAAGACAGCGCTTGCGGTTTTAGGTAACATTGTGGCACAGATACTAAAGATTAATGCCTCATACCTCACTTCTTCAGTAAGGTTCTATCACCAATTTCTAGGGCTATAGGGATTCACTGCTTTCAATTCAAATCTTTTTGGATCAACCGAAAGCACTTCTTGGTTTATGAGCCACCTCCTTCCTTTCTGGCCAAAAACAGGAAATGGCTTTTTTCTTCAAACTTTTTCAGTACCACTAGTTGGTCATGAAGTTTGTTACATTGATGCCCACGTGCGTCACCGGGTATGCACTGCGGCGTTCTTGTTTACAGCCAACATTTTTCTGCAGTTTCTGCAACACTTCAGTTTTTTTCGCCATGGGAATTCATGGAGCTCATGATTAGTTGATATAGCCGTTTTCGGAAATTGACTCAAACGTGGAAACAACTGCATTCTTTTAGATTCTTGACCGCTATGATTTTGCTAATTTTTTAAGTGTTCCCTTTGAACAATCTAGACTGGCAAAATGCAAATAGCGCGAAACTCTGAGCCTGGGCAACCTGACTGATTTTTGCTGCCTGTGACAAAATAGTCTCACACGGCATGACGTATCTCATGCATCACCGGGTATGCAGGCTCGTAGTACACAATGAATATCACATGTGTGACATGCGCCCAAATCGGCGCTAGCGTCAATATTTGGCCCTAATTCGGAAATGTTCAAAAATCAAGTCCTTTTCTTGAGTTTGGACGTTTTTTGCGTAATTCAACTTCCAAGTGTGGAACTTCCAATTATGGACTGATGACGTTAAGTTAACCAAAATTCAATTTTTTTCTTCAAACCAGTCGGTTCGGAAAATTAGACATCGTTCAAACCTTATAGAATTATAAGAAAAAATGTAGTAATTGAGCCGCCGCTGAGCTTGGAATAACTGAGCTTCGAATCCTGCCGTATGCTTTATTGCTGCAATCCAGTCTTTGATTCATCTTTCCCCTACGACGTCGCAGGGTGGCGGTAATATGGGTCTTACTGTAACCGTGTTACCCTTGTTATATGGTAATTCATTATCTCTACGCACTTTGGTCAGCCAGTAGTACTGTAGATATCACGGCACATGAACCCGGGCGACCGCTACTCCTTATTGCAACCGTCTACAATTATGAACACTCTGACCTCAATCTTTGGAACGCTGTAGTGGATTTGTATTTTAGACAGCTAGCTCCCCATTAGGGCTTGTACTCACATTGCCAAACCATGGTCCACTGAGCTTAGACTACTGGTCTATGAGACACTGGAAAAGCAGGGAAACGGTATAGTTGTTGCGCAGCTGGCGCAGAGATGGTCTAACTTGAAAATGGAAACTATTTAACCGAAACAAAAACGGGAACTGGCCTCATCCCAACAGTAATGCTGAATTTCCTATCATATTTTGCCACCCGCAGAGTTCATCCTGGTTGATAAGCTCTTAAAAACCTATGGCGTGAGGTGGCACTTCTGCAAAACTGAGCTCTTCTCATTCTCACGCCAGTTCACGCCATTGCACAAATTACTCGGTTGTTGTTTGTTCGAGCCAACAATTGCATGACAAAGGCTGTGTGAATTCGACAACAATTAACGTGGACCCTTCCTTGTCAAAAACATTGAAGCTTTTCCGGGATTACAACCAGGATTCTCGTTTGGTAACCGTAAAATGCTATTTGTAAAATGAGATGAAGAATAATAGTTGAATACCTGAGGGCCAATGTATAATGGTGATAAGAAATCGCCCTTTCTTTTCTTCAGACCCCCGTAGGTAGAGATACCGTAACAGACCTACAGTACACCAACCGTATCTCCATGGTCTATGAGTTCCAGAGTGTTCCACGTAGATTCTACTGTGACATTTCAGGTATCGGCGATCGATTCCGGCGACGGTTCTACGGATGCGCTTCGAAGTTTCTCGAAGACGTCCGTGTTGTTTGTATCGATCTCATTTATCATTTTGATGGTCATATCACTAGCTTGGCTTGTTTTCTACTATGTACAACGATTTCGTTATGCTCACGCCAAGGATCGACTGCAACGGAGGTGAGCGAGAAATGCTGGGATATGCTACGAATTACAACGTTGTCATGAGTTTCATAATCTCAAGAAATGTCTGGGAGGAGAATAAAAAGGATAAAATAAAGGATAAAGCATTTGCCGTTGATCAATCCCTTTTTGGGATGCGGCACGCATTCTACTTCCATTTGTACATTCGCAGTGGCATTTGAATGCGATGTGGCCTATACAATGACTTGCGGGGGCCAGCCGATGTACAAGTCAGTGTTTTTATCCTCCCAGACAAGTCTGGTACCAATTAACCGACCCCGGAGGGATGGAAGGCTTGGTTGGCCCGGGCGACTCACGACCCAGGATTTGATCCCCGGACCGCTCGCGTGGTGAGCGCGCCACTTGTCACTACACCACTTCCGCCCTGATAAGGAGAAAAAAAAAGTTCGAAAATCATAATGGCCTTGCCCAAGTCTGTTTTCTCTTGACAACATTATTCTTCATATTCGTTCTGCGTTCTTTGTGTGACTTCAAGTGTGGTTGTTTATTGCCTTTTCTTTAGTAATACAATAAGTTTACCAGTTACGTATTTGTATTCACTTCTAATAAGGGCGAAAATCGGTCGCAGATTCGTCATGACTCGGACTCAATGTTTGATTTCCTGTACGCCACTCTCTCACCGCGCGGACATACTCCACCTTGACACTCGCACAGTATAGAGCCATGTGGTTGAAGGAGGTCCGTTATGGAAAATGTGTTACACCCACAGCCGCTATCAGCTTTGGTTGATAACGCATTACCTAAACAGTATACAATGAAAAGCTGACAGCAACGCAGCTCGCTCAAATCACCAGCTGAAGTAGTGGTGGAGCGCTTCGGAGGCAGGGCGCTTCAAGTACTGTTCATCTACCAGCGCACCTTCTGTCGCAACAGCTCTACTACTACTACTACTCTACTGTACTACTCGTTTCTTCGGCACCCTTGTTAGTGCTTCGAGTGGCGCGTATATTTCCCCGGTGCCCACATGCTTTATAGCGATTACTTCCTTTAACCATTATTTTACCCCTAGCTGCGCCACTAGTGATTTCCTTCAACAGCCCCTCATATCAATAATTTCGCTCATGATCGCTCGAATTGGCAAGAGGTTCTAGAAGTTTCGCGGTGACCGTGAGGAGAGAGCGTGAAGGTGATTCAAAAAAGAAGTCTAAATTGTACACTAAATTATCTCCACCGCAACCAATTATTGACGCTCTACTGTTTTCAGGCTATTCAACGCAGCACGAAAAGCTCTGATGCGAATTCCGACGCGATGTTTGAAGGTTGGCGATCCAGAGCTTGACATCGACTGCGCCGTCTGCATCGATCCCTATCAAACGGGTGACGTCGTGCGGACACTCCCGTGCCGGTAATTACTACTTCTTACTCTCTATTTCTCCAGTAATGCCTCTCTTCTGTGCTCATCAGGCCACATCGCATGGCTAGTTGTTACGTCTCGTCAGATGTAACCAAGAATTAGCCTCTATGACGGGGGATTTGAAAGTTTCTGTTCTCAACAATGGAAATCTAGGAAGGGAACCAGATAGGGAATGCTGGCGTGAGGCCGTGAAGCGCTAGAAGAAGAAGGTACGGTGGCATCGCGCCTATGTATCCTTGTCTAAGCCTGCTAGCTTAACTGGTAGTAATTTAACAAGTTTTATCTATTCATCGGCTTTTTTGGTCCAAAAACCTTATATGGCGAAATTAGTATTGTTCTATATGGTATTACATTATTACACATCAGTATTGTTCTGGAAAAACCTGCAGAGGGCCTCAATAACGGGCTGTTGTCCATTGCTCCTCAAACGTACACCTTCAGTGCTCCTTGCTCTACATAGCTCCCCCCCCCCCAAAACACCCTGTGCGACCCTCGCCACCTATGCAGCAATAGGATTCTGAGTACTGTGCGCAATGATTATGTCGTAAACAGCTTCGAATGGTCCTGTAGTAATTTTATTTGCGGCAGGGAGGTGTCAGACTTGGCGAATCTAAAGAAACGCTAGCGAATTGCGGGGTGCGAGCGATGTTCCAGTGAGTTGAAAGTGTTTGGAAATGATGCAAAGTTCCTCTCGTCTAAAAGTTGACCCTCTCCTTTTCCCAGGCTCACGTGGGCATATGAGAGCGAAGGGTATGACAGCCGGGAGGTGGCGTGAGTGGCGTGCGTAGAGGGGCTCCCGCCACAGTTAGGCACAGTTAGGCACACGTTGTCAAGGCACTAGAACATCGTTCGAACTGCTGATGCATAGTTCGAACTGCGGGCGCATCAGTCATATCCGGCTAATCGCTAGCGATCGCTGGATTCGCAAAGTCTGACGCCGGCCGGAACGAGAGAGGTGGTTAGGAGGTCGCTGTGCTTGCAAATGGCCATGTAATCAGTATGTGCGAAGGTGAGCTCGAGGAGATAAGGAAAACGAATTGCCCTTGGATTTCTCCGAATGGCTGAAATATCTGCGAATGTGTCTTTAAATAGCGTTAATTCCATATAGCTTACCTGATTTTCTTCATTTTACTTCCCTCTTCGAAAGAAGGACAGCTGAGAATGAGTTAATATAGGTCGATATAACCACGTGTCAAATACACTTCAGAAATGTAATGAGTTCATTCTCAATAAGTTCATGGTTGTACGCGTTCAAAAGTTCCTGGGAAACGCGCTGGATATCAAGCCGGCCTTTCTTTCAGGTTCTACTTGACGTCAATGTATTATTTGCTACCGTAATTCTTCAGTTCTCATCTCACGTGTAGGTGCAGAATAATCTTAAATCTGGTATTTCGGGTCAGAAATCCAGATGAGGAAGTTGAAAGTAGCTTCGTTGCTGAAAGTCAGTAGACGACCTAGTTTAGCCAGGAGCGTTTCCCACAGATTTTGCAAGAATTTCCAACTTCGCCTCGGAACCCTGCGAAAAAACCGGTTGAGTCAGTGTTCCCATCGCCATTGTTTTCCTACGCCACGACAGTTCGGTGTAGCGCTACCGCTAACAGCGACGGTAATCGTCTGACACTAACTCGATGACATCAATCTCAATTTCTATACTTACAGACATGCTTTTTAGGGTTTCCAGACCCCTTAAGTTAAGATTAACAGAGAACTTTCCCAATAACAGATAAGTGCATTGTCACTATCGCTAGTGGCTGTGAGGTGCTGTTCTGCTGCCAGACAACTAACTCGGAGGGGTGCCAGGCCAAGAAGAACTGACGAGGACAAATGACTGCGTGTCAGCCTGAAATATTGGGAATCAGATTCTGGATGACTCACAAAAGCATGCCCAAAGATCTTCTCTCGAAAACCATTCAGCAATAAGCACTTCTTTCTCCGTTTTGTTTGATGACTGTCCCGTCCGAGGATAAGATCGAATCGTTACTCTGAATGTCTTCTTTGTGCCGATTCTGATAAAGAACCCCGAAGAATTTCCTGAAGTTTGCGAAAAATGGTTGTAAGGATTTATTCCTCGTTAATTGTTTTTAGTTTCTGCATATAAGGAGGTGTTAGCTATATTTTTGGAGAGGATTGTCGGAATACATAGAAGGCTTT